GCAATACTGATGGGATCTAGAGGGAAGTCTGGTTTACTCAAGCTTGCAGTCAAGTACCCTTCTCCAGTGAACTGGCAGAATCATACCAGTAGCTGTCCCGAGTCTACACACAGTCTGTAGCATTGTTAATATGAGAAAAAAACCTGGCCATGACACTGCATGGAAAGATCCCTGAATAATCCCAGCCCCTGTCTTTGGTAGAAAAAGATGAAGCTTAAGGAGTGAACTTGAACATCACACAGTGCAGTAAGGTATCACTAAATTACCAAGTTGGCTCCATCATCCTTCTGCTTGAGTCAGCTGTCCTGCTGAACACAAACATCTGTATCTTTTTTTCCCAGCATTTTTGGTTATTATAACTAATTCACAAGCTCCCTCTGCTGGGCTACCGGCATAGGACACTAATGGCAAAACTCCTCTAATGTTATTTGCAGACTGACCCGTTTTCTTCAGCTTATTTTGACACTTTGTACAGCATCAGAAAAAATGTCTGATCAAATTCATGTAAATGGCTTTTTGGAAGTGTGACAGAGAGAGGTTTGATGTGTTAGGTACATATTAAAATGTTTTTACATGCATAGAGGAAGATTTTTTCCACAATAATGTAAGTGTAGCTGTTACCTCCTAAAAGTACTTCTGCATCTATCAAAATGATACTTGGCTTCAGTAATGCCTTCAGTTACATACAGGGAAGAGCTCTAAGAAAATAAAACAGCTCTTTTAAGAGAATTAAAAGCTTACAATCATCAAGTATACTCAGGACATCGTGCAGTTTTATGTAGCAGTGGTTTTCAAAAGGCAAAGCATGAGCCAAGGGGCTTGTACAAGGAATGATGAAGTGTGGAAAATGTTACAGCAATCAGAAGCAAAGAAGAACTAGTCCTGCTTTTTACTTCCTAATTCTCAAGGTCAAGACTTTTGTCTACATTCAAAACACATATTCAGGGCTGGGCATTGTCATAACTGATACATTGCAAAATGTCTCCTAGTAGATCAAAAGGAGTTGTGAAATCTTTCTCTTCCAACTAAACAATCTCAGATTGAGAAAGACTGCTAACAACAAAAAAGGATGGATGGTGTTCTGTGATTGCTGTAGACATAGCACTTTCTTGCTGGCTTTTAACAGGGATTTACTGAATGAAGTATCTGCCTTAAATAAGTCACAAAACTGTGGAATGCCTTAATGGGAAAAGGCATATTGCCTGCAGTGGCACAAGAGAAAAATGGAGAGACTTTAAAAACAATCACAGTGGCTTTTTTACTGTAGGTCAGGCTCCTAGGCACAGAGAGTAGTACAAATACTAAGTATTACAGTGCTTCCTAAGTGTTGTGCTTAAAGTAAAAGGTATGTGGGAATGTAGCTGTCACCTGTGTGAGCAAAGCAGTTATTTACAGCACATGGAATCAGTGAGAAATTATATAAAACAGTAAATAAAGGACTCCACCAACCTACTGATACAGAAATTGCAGGGGAAACATGGAATGCATGTATTCCAAACTTCAATCTGCTGAGGAGACTAAAATGAACATTTCTAACATCACTTGAGACAAAATCACCAGTTTTGACTAAAGTGGACAGACCACCTATACTTAACCTGGAAAAGGAACATGTGTAATTTATACGTGTTTGTTAAATAGCTGAAAGCTTAAGAGGGCAGGTGTGACAGGAGAAGGAGGAATGGCTTTAAACTAAAAGAAGGCAGCTTTTGACTGGCTATTAGGAAGAAATTCTTTACTGTGAGGCACTGAAACAAGTTGTGGTGGAGAAGTTCACATCCCTGGAAGTGTTCAAGGTCAGGCTTGATGGGGGTTTGACCAACCTGGTCTAGTGGGAGGTGTCCCTGCCCATGGCAGGCAGTTGGGACTAGATGGTCTTTAAGGTGCCTTCCATCCCAAACCATTCTGAAATTCTTTGATAGGACAGGTTGTGATGTCTTTAAAAGTACAAAAATAATTGGCTGAAGTTTTAAAGCACCAGCAATATGTATCTTAGTGCCAGTAGACTTTTGGCTAAGTACTGACAGGATAAAGAATAATTTTACCTATGCTTATGCTAAATGACATTCAAGAAGTTTCTCAAAAGATGTATCTATCTCAGGCATGAGTTTTCTTCTAGGTAGCATATTCTCATATTGGCTTTATTCTTCATCAAAGCATCTGACAGCTCCAGAGGACGTGATATCAATATGCAATTTATCCTCTCAAAGCCTTGAGGATGATCAGTCTATTTCTTTTCTGTTCCTAATTAAACTTATTGCTTCAGTAATTCCCAGGGGCAAGGAGGCATTGTGACTGCACTGAAATGAAAATGAACTCTGTCGAACCACAGCTACATCAGCGGTGGTTATGATTAATGTATTCTGTGATTGTTGTTTTGGTTGTAAGATTCAGCAGTTTTATTAAATATACTGTGAGGGAGCATACAGAGACAAGTCACAATTTTCTTTTCTTGGTGAGGTGAAAGAAATCCGAGGAGGTTTTAAGACAGAATTGGATGAAATAAGATATAGCAGGTCAAGGGAGATCTTAAATGTTATTTCTGATTATCCAGATTTTGCCAGGCCACTAATAATTATGGTTCAGTTAGGGTTTTCTGTTCTAGCCAACCATTTCCTGGAATAAGGAGAAAATACAAATCCTTCATATTTAAGTGTTTTGGGAAACAGGCAACAGCCCTAAAATGATTGTGGATTGAGACACTTGTTAAGAGGTAATTTTATAGCTAGCAAAAGATAATGTTGTTTTCCAGATACACAGGTCATTTTCTTTGCCATTTTCCTTGGTAATGTGGAAGTGGATCAGGTGGGTTGATTTCTATCATCCATTCTAATCACGATTCTAAATATCATTTTTCATGTGGCTTTGCATGTGGGCTGCTTTTGCATTCTGAAAAAGAGGTGATATTCATTAGCATATTTCATTATGCCAGGCAAAAGGGTATACTGTGTATACACTTAAGTATTCATACTGCTTAAGTGCTTGACTTTTTACACTTGCTTTATATTAAAAAATGGTGAACAATGCTTTCCTATCTAGCTGATCCTTCTTTATGCAGCATTGTGGAAGGCTGGATTTGGATAGAAGTTTATATGCATTTAAAACACTCAACCAGCATTTTAAAATAGGCATTAATTCCATCTAAAAGTTAAATATTCTGCACATAAAAATAAGCTTAGCAAAACATGGTCTGTATTGAAAGCCAGTTGTCAGTATTAAGTAAAGGGATCGCTACATACGGAAAGTGAACTGATTAAGATTTTTCTAACCAGTGTGCCTTTGCCTTCCAGAATTGCAATTAATAGACTTTATCCTTTACATTTATTTCTAAGGGGTTACCTTACTAATGCTTTTACAAGGTATGGAGTCTGGAGGAATAGATCCCAAACTGGCAGATATTAAAATGAAAGCTCTGGAGAGAATTCACTGTGTCTCCCCGTGTCTCTGCTCTCATTTGCTTAGGATTTAAATCGTTTCCTTAAGTTCTGTGAAGCTAAAATGATTCACTTAAAAATGACTGAAAATTACTGAAGTCTCCAGATGTTAATGTCTTATTTACTTCTACTGCAGCAACATAAAAGAACACTAATGAAGATCAGAAGTAGGTTGTTCTCCAGGGTACAAATATAATAGTCATTTGGAGCAGCTGTAATAAAATCCCTTGTTATCAGGGAGCAAGGTGAGACAGGCAAATAAGATTTTTTAGCCATTAGCTTTCAGTCAAGTTTTATGTGACATTAATTTTCTGTAGCATCTTTTACGTGCCAAATGAGAGAACAGAGTTTATAACATATCTTGCCTCCACACTTAATGCTATCAGTATTTTTTAAACTTTTTAACTGAAGAAGTAATGGTAAATCCTGTCATAATACAAATTATAACAAACCCAAACGAGTTCAGAAACATTTCAAAGACATCATCTTGGTATTCCAGTTAGTTTTAGGATTACCATTTATCTTGTCAAGAGTATTTGTGCAGCCTTTTTCTTTTTTTTTTTTTCCTGTCTCATTTTGCCTTTTTTCTTTCTCAGTTCTCTTTTCATAATTTGAAATATATTTCTTCAAAGTACTGCTGCCATACAGGCTTTTCCCTAAAGCCAAAACACTACTTCAGTTAAATTATTTAATTGGCCTAGGTGTTGGTTAGTAATGTACAGATGTGGCTGACACAGAGGAAATTGCTGATGATTGCAGTGAATTGCATATAAATAGAGTTGTCGTTAAAATCTGTAAAACTGAATGCTTTGGATCAGTAACTTGGAAAAGTTCATGTCTGGTGAAATATATGATTTATCAGTCTTACTTACAGAATAAGGCATTAGTTGTCTCTTAGGACTGCAGTAAAGGCAGCATTGACCTGTTCATGATGATAAAGTCCCATAAGCATAGCTAATCTATCTTCACAGAAACCAGTCCTGAGCTTCATTTTTCGCATCTTTTTGAAGTAAGAGAGCCTGAGTTTTTAACTAAGATGTTTCTGAACCCACATATGTAACAGTGATTTTCAGTAAAACCTGGTACCCTCCTCTTTGCTTCCTCTTTTTTGTATCTTGTCTGTAGAAAAATCTGTCTAGCCTGGTATGGCCTAATAACACAGCCTGTAACACAACTTTTCTAATCTTTTCCTTTGTCTTATCCTAACATCTCTTCCTCCAGTCTGGGGGCTGCTGTTCTGCAGCTTACCTGCTGCGTGTTACCAGGTCCATGACTGCTGGATCTCTGGGAAGGAAAAGCTCTTAGTGGGCCTCTTTTCACCTCATCTGTGCAGCTAAATGTTTGACATTCCCTTCCTGAGAGGGGATGAAACTCTGTTTTTGAGAACCATTATGTAAATTGACTGTGTTATGTAAGGAACTTTTAATAATGATGTACATTCCAGCATGCTTATAAGATTAAAGGCAGTACTTTGTCTTGTACACCAGCAAAAAAGCGGAGTCCTGAAAAATGTCTTAAAAAATTAAATTATTATAATAGACTTGATGTTTGTTTGATGTTTCTGTTTAGGTGCTGACCCCAGCACAAATAAAATCAATTTGCCTGGCCATACTAGAATCAGGAAAACAGTATGCAGTGAAGAAGAGGAAACCATTCCCACTCATGTATTCCTACTACGGAACGGAGTATCTTGGTGAGCAAAACACACCAACAGCTTTGGGAGTGATGCTGTGTGTAGATGCTGAGCTAGTAGGCACTTCAGAAATAAAATACGTAAAACCTACAGTGTGGGATTTCTCCTGACCCAGTTGGGACCATCCAACCTCCTAAAACTGTTAAGGGGAACGAGGAGCTGGAGGGAAGAACTGATGCTGCCGGGCACTGGGGAACACAAGAGGTGCCTGTCCTGCACCAGGGGAGCAGCTTCATTCCCTCTTCTCCTTTCTGCCCTGGTAAATCTGCCTTGCCAGACAGAGGCAGCAGGAGGTGCCCATGTCTGTATGGAGCAGGTTACCTGAGGGAACAGCCAGGGATGTTTTTTGTAAGCTGCTGTTGCCGTGCAGGGGCTTGCCAAGGGATTTGGGCTGTAGCAGCACAATTCAGACATGTGGCCAGGTCCTACCCATCAAGAGCAGCTTTAGTTGCAGCTCATCTGAAGCAGTGGGGAAAGGCCATTGAGCAGCTCCCTGGCAAGGTCCTCAGGGTGCAATATGCAGAAAGTGTGGGACTGATTTGCATATATTAACGAGTTCTCTGGCAGGCAACCAGCGGGAGAAGTCACTGCATTGTGTGCCACGGACCCTGGCAGGTACAGACAGTTCTTGCACCGAAATTTAGGTTTTAGTTGACTGATACTGTCAGTCAGTAACTGAGAATACCCATTTATGGCCCAGTTTCAATTTGAATTCAACAAATATTTCAAACTAATGGTCCAGATTCAGCAGTGAGTCAAGAATAATATTGTAAAACAGTATTCAGTTCAGGTTCAGTTTAACTTCATGCACTCAGTTTCAGTCATATCATAGTGAGAGCAGAAAAAATTCATATATATTTTTGCAAAGCTGGAGGAACTGAAAATGACAGAAGTAGTAAAATATAGTGTTCTGCACCTAGAAATCTTTTATTCTAAGCACTGTTGTAATATGCAGAAAGAAGATGAAGGAGACATGTGCTTGACAAAGAAATCAATCCCAAGGGAAAGTTGCCTTGAGTTGAACGTAGGACCAAAACCTACCCTCTAATTTGATTGTTTTACTTCTTTACAGGTGCAGCTCATGGACTTTCGTCAATCCTTCAGATGCTGCTCTCCTACTATGAGTACCTGCAGCCAGCAGATCAGGAGCTTGTGTGGCAGAGTGTGGATTTCCTCATGGACCAGGAACAGAACAGCAACTGGCCTCCTGAGCTGGGGGAGACGATCGAGCGGGAGAATGAGCTGGTGCACTGGTGTCATGGAGCTCCAGGTTCTTTTCCCATTGATGCTTTGAATAGCCAGATGCTGATCCCATTGCTTTGTCACATTAGGTGATTCCACGTAGAAGATAATCTCAGGTTAAATTTGACCAGGTTTGACCTTTTATGAGATGCAGACAAACTATTTGGGCTTCTTCTTCCAGTTCAGAGTGTTTTATTTATTGCTGAAGCAGCTGGAACAATAGGTGTATTTTCTGCCTTAAAAGTGTAAGTGATCACAGCTGAAAGAGTTCTGGTGATCCTGAACTGTATATTTTCCGCTTTTGCTCCCATTCATGACAAGACCTCAAAGACTGGTACAGCTAAGTCAAAAGACAGCATGTGGCTGGAAAGAAAAATGGTATGGGAAAGAACACAGATACAGACACATCTGTGAGTTTGGGGAAGGACTTGAGAATACCTTTCTTTTTTTTCCCCTGTCAGAATCAAAGTTTAAGCTGCACTTGTCACATGGATAATGCATACATTTGACCGAAATATTTTCATGTGAAGTACAGTTTGTACTAGCAAGAAGCATTTTTTTCTGAAAGTAATGCATGTAAAACTGCTTTTCAGAAAAAAAAAATCAATCTTTAGTTGGGGTTCATGAGGTAAAGCTGATGTCTGTTGGCAATTTTGGCAAGTAATGCTGTATATTGAAACTGCTGCTTTACCTCCAGGCAGAATTTTATTGCTAACGAGTGATATTGGCTTAGCAATGGCACTCCAGTGAAGTGGAGTAAAAACAGCTTTTGCCTACCAAACTTTATTATGATTAATTTATTTAAATCCCTTCTAAAAATAAGCCAAATAGCTTTTTTCTTTTTAAGTATGCATAGATGTATATAACTAGGATAAAGCAGCATGGGCCACACTGGAAAAAAAACCCCTGAATTTCTTTTTCTCATTTAGTAAAAAAAAAATTATCTGTTACCAATGTAAGAAATTATCTTGCCCATCCTTGTGTTTCTAGCAGTGTAAGTAGGTGCGGTGAATGGAGATTTGGCACCAGTAGAAGACAGTGCTAAGAGTTTACTGTTTTAAAGGCAAAAATGTGACTGCTGGTTTTAATTTATAAAAGTCTGGGAATGTGAGAGTAAACGCTGAAATTCAATGATATATTGAAAATATTGTCACGGGGAATGGAGAAGTACATCTTGCCATGTGGTTTTTTATCACAGCAGATACTCCCCCCTCCACATTTAGCAGAGGTGACGCTGACACATGCAGAGCGTGAGGCTGCAGTTTGTTAGTGTATTAATCTTTATTTTCTTAAGTGTTCTATGAAACCCTTGGCGTCCTTACCAGGAAGGATAATCTCCCTGCTCTTTTCCTAGGCATTGCATACCTGTTTGCCAAAGCTTACCTGGTTTCCAAGAAGCCTCAATATCTGGACACTTGCATCCGCTGTGGAGAGCTGACTTGGCAGAAAGGCCTGTTGAAGAAGGGCCCTGGAATATGCCACGGAGTGGCTGGTAGTGCTTATGTGTTCCTGCTGCTATATAGGCTCACTGGAAACTCAAAATACATATACAGGGCACAAAGGTTAGCATTCCTGTCTTCTGGATTTAGGGTAATGCTGGAAGGTTTTGGTAGCATTTATAAAGCAGCTCAGTCTGTGATCAGTGAGTTGCAATGAGCTGTGGGGCAGGTGCACTCTGCAGGAGCTCTGCAGTCCTGCTTCCAGGCTGCCTGTGGTGGGAGAAGTATCATGTTCTCCCAGGCTGCCTCCCTCCCTGCCTGCCTGCGACCCTGTGCTCTTTCAGAGGGAACTGGGGTGGATGTGGAGGGATGGCGTGCAACCAGGTCTCACCCTGATGTGAGTTCAGAAATCGGCCAAGCTGTGTGTACCTGAGCCCAGGAGCAGAGCAAAACATGATCTGTTACATTTTTTTTCAGAGCATTTAATGCTATTTCTTTCTACTAGAAGTGGGAAAATCAGTATAGGACATGATTTGCTGTTATTTGACAGTTTTTTAATTTATCCTTCCCACCTTTAGCCAGTTTGACATTGTGCTGTTCAATTTAGCCAGTGGCCTTTATTCCGTTTTCTACAGATGCAAGCATATATGATCCAGAGAAAATTCTGCCACAGTGCTGCAATTATCTTTAATTATATATCTGTAATTTACTGCATATGTTTAAAAACATAGAATTCAATATTTGTTATTGTTTTCCCCACAGCATAGGACAATGAGGGAAAGTGGGATAACAATTAGGGTGATTTATTTTCAGCTATTTTCTTTGAAGTGAGAACCTTTCATTTGTGTAGTTACTTCAGCATGACAGAATTTGCTGCATCAATGTGAAACCTTGCTTGCATCGTAAAGGTTATTAAAAAGTATTTGTTTAATGATATGTCTTACAGAAATCAGAAAAGATTTACAGGTCTTAAACAAGCAAAATGCACATACAGATTGCAAGGGTTTGTCTTTTCAAAATCTAATGAACTTCAGTTCCTTGTGGAATTGGATAGTGTAAAAGTTGCAGATAAGGTTAAATAGTGATCATTCTATTTTTTTTTAATTGCTGAATGTTATTAAATGATGTTTTCAAACAACAGGTAAGTAGACAGAGTGGGATATCAAATAATAACAAACTCTTTTTTTTTTTTCTCTCATAGATTTGCAGAGTTCTTATTTACAGAGGAATTCAAGGCTGGTTCCCGGGCACTAGAGAGTGTATATAGTCTGTATGAAGGTTTTTCAGGAACTGTGTGTTTCCTGACTGACTTGCTGCAACCCAACCAAGCCGAGTTTCCTCTCTTCAGTGTCTTTGTCTAAAGACTGACACCCTCCAGGGCCACATCCCGGTGGCAATGGGGGAGGGCACCTGCAGTTTCACCTTTTTGTCAAGACAGGCTATTTCCAAAACGAGCCAGTGGTACCACTAATGCTAGCCTTAATGTAGCTGGGAGTCGGGTGAGAAAGAAAACACACTGGGGCTTTGGGAGGGAAGTGTGTGGTCACTAAAAATGGGTCAGTGAAAAAAAAAAGAAAAGGAGGGGGGGAAGTGATTGAATCTGACAGGGTAGATATTTAGCTGTAATAAGAAACATAATCTAATCATTCAAGTGAGAGAGAAAGGGCCATTATCATACTTTTAATTTGGCGGTTATACAGGAGAAAAAAAATAAAAAGGCAAGCTGGAATTGCAGGGACGTGCAAAGAAGAAACAGTGATGCATTCAGTAGGTTTTAAAAAGTGTCCTGCAAGGACAATTCGTGAAGCAATGCACTTGCTGGGAAAGGTGTTGTAGACATTTCACTACACTGCACAAAGGGATTTTTTTACCTAAACCACATCTGCTAGTTTTAGTAACACCTTTATCTTGGAGCTCTTGCCTCTTCATGTGCATATAATAGTTCTGTAGATAGCTGTGTGTTCAGGCTGCAGTTTCACAGTTCATTTCAGCAAGTGGGGTCTCATGTGTGTAAATGAGCACTGAATTTGACCCTGCCTTTCAGAGCTCAGTCTGTGGCAAGGAGCTGGTCTCCTCACTGAATTACTGTAACCCTGTCCCTTGTCAGTATTTTCCCTGTCACTGGGAAGGTGGGCGGAGCTGTGGAGAAGACTTGGTTAAAAAAGTTCTTTAGCAAAGATAACAGCAGGCAGATGCTTTCTTCATGATTCAGCATTGCTAGATAAGTATTGTTCAGTGACACAGAAGCTTCCTTTAAAAATTACTTATAGCAGCATTCCTGAACAGTAACATACATGTTTCGAACACGGAAAAATCTCTTTTCCTTGATGAATTCTTCACTATAAACCCTGCAAACTGAATGCAAACCTAGGATGACATACTGATCTTAAGAAAAACCTGGTAACAAAAACTAAAATTGCTTCCTTTCCTAGTAAACAAAATAGTGTATATGCCCAAATGATTTTTAGCTATAGAAATAAATGGGTTGCTCAATACTAGTTGCACTAGCACTTAAGGTTGCAATTATATGCTGTTTTATATGTATTATAGATATGCCATGGTACTTGAAAGCTAAAGAAACCATTGACATAGATTTGTACTAAAAACATAAAAACAATATCTGTAGTTTAAATATATTTAATATTTATTTATTTATTTTTATTTACATGGGAATAATGTAAAACAATTACCTGTAAAGACAAATTGGGAATACCAGTATGTCAGAAACTGAAGTTGTAGAAAAAAAAGCTGATGTACATGCACTGCCAAACAATGCAGTCTCTCTTCCTGCATTCTCAGCTGGAGGAAATTACAATTTCTTTATTTTTAATGCCTAATGGATTAAAGTTCCCATTTCATTTCAGTGGGCTTTGATCAGGCTATAAGTTGGAGCAGGGTCTTGAAATCCCTCCACATTTTAATATAATAATCCCATTCCTGCTCTTGCCATTGTAATTTTAATGAGATGGCTTGCACGACTATGAGCTGCAGATAAGAATTTCTCTTATTTAGTGTTGCCCTGTGCAGCTCTAATTAATTACTTAATCATAAAAATAGCCATATTTCATTAGTGAATAAAGCAATGCAGTTCTATATCAGTTTGTCAAGAATTTAGGTATCTTTTAGCAAATGGAAATGTTACAACTCAATATACATTTGCTACATGGGTTAAAAGGCCTTTTAAGAAAGCCATAAATGTCACTTAGTTGGTTACTCTGAGCACTATGTGTGCACATAGAAGGATGAATTCCACAGGGAGGTGTATACACATGAGGCTGAATGAAAAAGTCAGTGGAGATGTGTGTAAGCTCTGCCCAGCAACGTTGAAATGCTCCTGTTAGATCAGAGCTAAGTCAGTTGTGGGTAGTCAAGATCCCATCTCCATTAGGATGTTTATCTAGTTGCTTCCTGTAATGCATATGGCTCATGTATTTCATAACTGGAATCTTTTAAACAAATGTTTTGGAAAGGCAAAAGTTTGCCTATCCACTTTTTCAATGTGATCAGTAACTTTTCAGTCTCAGTTTTTATTGTAGGTTAATGTCATTCAGCTCAAGCATTTGTGCCACAGTATTTAAATAGCCACTGTGACTGTGTTCTGTCTTACTCTAAGCCAGAGAAATAGGTTTTGCTGTGATCTAGACTGAAACTTTTGCAATCCTTCATTTATTGCTAACCCTTTTATTCAGAGATACAAACGTAGACCAAAAGCATCTAGTGTTTTGATAACTACACCCTAAAAAACTCCTAAAAACCCCCTAAACAACTCCAAACTTAAGCCTTAATGGAATCTACACATATCAGAATACTAATCATGACCTTTTGATTTTGTGCCCAATGCCTACTTTTTAATTATCAGTGGACCACAACATTTAATTGTTTCCAGTTAGTTATTTCTCAGGAGATGCTTGAGAATGAAAACCATTGCCAAAACCTCAATATATCTAGAGCATGATAAATCAATAACTTGGATTCTGACCAAGTTACAAGTGCTGATACCATAACACATACCACGTGTTAAAATTCACTATAATAGCAGTAGGTAAAATCACCCTGTTTTATTATACTTTACTTGCAATGGTCAAGTTTGCATTTATCTTTAAATGTGATTCTTCATAGATGGCAGGAAATAAACATTAAGAACTCAGAGTCAGTTTTTTAGTGGTTTTTCCCCTGTGTCCCTTTGCAGAATTAATTCTTTCCAAGTTGTGTTCAGAGGAGACTCTGATCTGCTCTGTTTTGTGTTCAACAGCACCTTCAAAACAGATCTTTCTCCACAGCTGTTCTCCATATATAAAGCTGTGTGTTTGGCTTCATTTGATACTAATCTGTCAAGAAAGAAAATAGTTACTTGAGTAAGAGTTAGTCCATTCAACAATTAAAAACCAAACAAAAAAACCACAAAAAACCCAAAACAAACAAACAAACAACCAAAAAAAACCACCCAAAACAAAAAACTGCCTGGTTTTTGAAATCTAGGTCCCAAACATGTCTCTGCAGGTTATACAAGCTGGTCACTGACTTCAGCAAGGGCAGCACACAAATATCCAATCACATGGTGTACATCTGGTAAAAATTTTGGAACATGATTATTCATCTCTTTCATCAGACATGGCAGTTTGAGCTCATTCTTAGAGCTTTGTGGCTTTTCTTACCTGACCTGGCTGGGTTAAGGTGGCTACTAGATGTGCAGAGTCACAGCTTCTGAACACAGTGTAAATACACCCTAGGGCTCGTTAGAAAATCCCAGTCATTAAACCAGCAAGTTTTTTTTTCATCTTTTCCCTCCTTTTTATTGCCTACCTTGATTTTATTTTTTGTACTATATATGCTGTTACATACATGCTGTTGCAACCTTTATTTGTTGCTTTTAAGACAAAGACAGGAAAGTAACCTGAGCGGAGCTGTCGGCACTTTTTGGTGTAATAAAAAATAAGGTTCTCTGTGCTCCCTTCTTCCTGTTTGGAGAAAACGATCATGCAACCTTTTGCTAGACATTCTCCATGGGATGCTGTCCCCTTCTGCTCCTGAATTGGACCCCAGTAGACTGAAAATGTGTATTCCTGAACAGATTCTGCCATGGTGCTGTGACAAAGGACTGTGTTACTGGAAACTCGAGAGGCCTCTTGAAAAGTGCAAAACACAAGTAACTACGTCATGTTTGCACATTAGTTTCTTGACTGTGTTTAGTTTCTAAAGTAGGCAATAGGAATTTAAGTGATATAATAGTATTTCTGAATATGGTGTTAAAGCAAAGAGGATGCATTGTGTGGGTAGTGGTGCTTATTTGTGATGTACCTGTGTTTGTGTGGTGCTGTTTGTGAGTAAAGCTGTAGATTACACATCAGTTTAAGGAGCTGTATGCTGTTCATGACTTTTGGTCTGTCACCCATAGATTACTGTCAGGGAATAATTTTGAGGGAAGCTAGATCTGTAATGTCCAGATTTGTTGATTTCAGGATTCACAGAACCAGATGCAATAAGTTTTATCAACTATAAAGTTCTAACAAATATATATTCATTTTTTACCTGCTACTCACAACTTCTTATCATAACAACGTGTTCATTTTGTGCCACTGCTTTCAATGCTTTCAATATCTGCTTTGTTTGCATCATTGTTGCCTTTGGTTTCCCTGCCTTTCTTTCCCAACCTATGAATGAATAACTAGAGAAGGCTGAAGAAGCAGCCCAGGTCTTTTGTTCTTGAAAATAAGATTGATTAATTTTGCTTAAGCAGGGTGTTCCACTAACTTGCCTTACATTGTTTTATGCTTCCAAGTGGTCTTCTTACTGGCTTTGCCATTTCTCAACTGCTAAGGAAAGTCATTATACTGTGTAACAACTGTCACTGATGTTTTACATCATTAAATAAAACAGAGACTTTCTTGGGAGCATTGTCACTTCTCTAGTATCTCAATTCTATTATGACAATCAAAACCAAGTAAAATGGCTTAACATTCAAAAAAACACTGTTAATTAGTTCTGAGAAATATACATAAAAAAATGCAAGTAAAGTGGTCACCCTTATTGCTACTCTATCAGATTAATGCCATTTTGACGTTGTGACACTAATTATATATGGACATGTAAACAATATGAGAATACTGAATGTTTTTTTAAATACTGTGGAAAAAATTGAGATGTAGGTACTGATGTATTCAGCAGCATACAGGGGCAATATGTGCAAATGGAAACTTTGATAAGCAATCAGCTTTTTGTACTTACATAGTTATCTGCATATACAGTTACAGCATCTGCCAACATATTGCATGTTTTATGCCAACAGTGACCTATTTTAGTGTGTGCATGCATTTTGAGAATGTACCCTTTTTCTTTGGATCTCTGAGGTCTGCCAAGTAAATCTCAGGTGCAGTAATCTTCTCCTGCATACCTTGAATATTCACTGGCATGAGTGCATATTCTAATCTGTAGGAAGATTAGCATATCAGGAATAAGAATTGCCCTAGAGATTTTTTTGAAGAGTAATCTTGACGTGGAGAACTGCACTAATGAACAATTGCTGGCCAGCAGCTCAGCCTGGACATTTCAGTTTATGTAATTATGTCCTGGACAAAGTAGTAAGCAGCAGAAAGCTAAATTGAAAAGAAATAAGAAAATGACCAAAAATCACACTACTAGGGGAACAACAGACTTCAAAGCCATAAGCCAAAACCACTCAGGGCCCACACAAAACAATACAGCAATTTAGGGATGTGAATAGGCATTTTCCTAGAGAATAGCACAGTGTGCTTCATTGCACAGGTCGTGGTACAGCGTTCACTGTGCAGGTTTCAGCTGCCTTGAACAGCACTTCATTGCCATTATAGCAAAGTCATCATGTGCTGAAAAAAGTTTGCTGTGAGGGAGTTGCCTGTAGCTGAACCTACAGCCTACTGGAACAGAAGTGATGTACACTATTGATGCTGAGGCAGTTTAAAAAAAATGCATTCAAGAAGCCAACAAGCACCAACTTTTCAACCTGCCTTTGAATTACTAAACCTCCTGAGTAATTTGTATTGTCACCGTTGGTCCTGTACCCTTTATATTTAAAATTCTATATCATGCTCTCAAAAAAAAAAAGAAAATCAGTTTTTAAATAGCAATCTGCTTGAAAATATGTAAGGCCATACTTATTGTTGATACTTAGAAGGTTGTATTTTGGAAAGTCCCTTGACTTTGTTCATTGCATGAGTCAACGAGAAGGTGGAGGCATTTAGCTCAAGTACAGCAATACTAACTAGAACGGCAGCAAAATAAATAAAAACTCATTTTGCCAAATGGTATAATGATATTTGAATAAAAGATACTTTATAGTGCAGTGATGTTCAGCAACAGCACTGCATGACTATATGTGCATAGTCCAGAGAAAATGTTATATAGAAGTCCTGAAGTCAATTATATTCTATAGGGAATGGAAAACTGATCCTAGTCAAACATACATTTCTACTTCAGATAGAAGAGGAAGGCTGTCTGACCAGAAATTAAACTCTGCTTCTGTCTTCATTACCATGACCACACATGAGAGAAGAAAAGATTTCCTCTAACAATGGTCTGATTTTGCCACTGGTTCAGCCTCCTGCACTCGTTTTAAGGGCCTGATATGCCACCTGCTGATGTCAGTGGTGGACCTCCACTTGATTCCAGGCATGCAAGGTAGGTCCTTCCACATGTGTGAAACAGAGGCTAAACTATTATTCCGGACCCCAAGCCTACAAACTTTCCTTTACACGAGTCCCATGGAATTAGTAAGGCTTGTTTGTATAGTATGAGGAAAGCACAGATGTTTGCATATGCAGGGCCCTATTTGATAGCAGTTTTATACACGTTTTCTCTCAATATCTCTGCAATATACATGAATGCCAATACCAGTGAAAAGTACAGGGAACTTAAATGGCATTATTTCATGTCTAATTTGTGTTGGTGACACTTGATTATTCAGTATATTCCAGCGTGTGATATTCATTCCTTGAGTACGTGCCACACCCTAGATTGGTTTCTCAGTGTTACAGCCATTCACAGCCATGATGTGGTACAGGCCCGTAGAATCAACTGATTTGATTCTTTAGATATGCACCTTATTGTTTAAAAGCAGGACCCCTGCCCTGCTTTTCCAATATTTTAAACACTGTGATCTTTCAGAATGTGTTTATTGTATTAGTTTTGTATTGTAGATTATGATAGAAACTAGATTTTATAGCTTTTTAAAAGCAGTGATAATGTTAAGCTTCCTAGTGGCAGAACAATCTCTTGTGTATATCCATATTATGAATATTAAAGCTGTGATTATATTTTGCCTTAAATAAAAGTCCAACCTTGAACAGTATGATTTTGTGTTGGATTGATTATTTCTGTACTTATCCTTCATAATGCTGGCAACCTTTCTTTCCAGAAGAGTCATGGCTCAGGGCTCCAAAAGCTTTTCAGTGGTACCGTGTAAAATAAATCATTTTAAAATTAGATAAATCATCCAGGCTGCACATAGTGCTTAAGTAAGACTACCTCATGATAGTTTCCCATGAGACAAGATAGGTTGCATTTAGCCTGTAGATTAAAGTTTCTCACTTAGGTGCTTATTTTCAGCCTGCTTACATCTCAGTTTTCATGGCCTCTTCTTTTTCCGGAAAGACCCCTCCACTCCCAGTGAAGGACACAGAGCATGAAATTCTAACAAGGTTTCCATCTTTGCCATCATGAGCTTGAATTCAACTAGAGCTGAGCAATGGGACTCCAGATTTACCAGAGCAGCAGTTCAAGAAATGGCATTTATAAAATTCTGGTGACAGTCTAAATTGCATTAAAGAATAGTAGCAGACATGCAGAAGTAGCTATTAGCTTTATCCTATTAATAGGCTAATAGCTCCATATCCTGCCTTCCTGTTGTGCTCCTGGTAGATCCCAGATCTCTTTTGTTAATTTCCATGTGCCAAGTCTGCAATTGCCTGAGAAACAGGCAAGGAGAAATAAGATCTATCAGGGCAGGCATCAGAGCCAGCTGAGCATGAACCAAGTACCTGCACCAAGAGGAGGAGAGATATAGCAGTGATTGCAGCCCGCTCCTGAGCAGGATAGAGGCACCATCTGCCAACCTGACTTGGTACTTCAGGAGTTGTGTTTCTTGCCAGGTGTGCAGATTCAGGATCTGAGAGAAGGAGAGACTGAAAAGGCTCATCTTTCCCTCAGGCTGTTGCCTTGTGCTGCTCATCCGTGCAGGCATCAGTGACGCGGCCAGGGTGACATTTCCTGAAGGACTGCAGAGCTCCGGTGGGCAAGGGAGGAAGGATCCTGCTGGGTGAAGGGGAAAGGCCCAGGGACAGTGGGCAAGGGCTATGGGCTGGTGTTAACAGCAGGTGCTTAGTGTTCTGTGACCTTAGGAACCTTTGCAGGAAAAGGGCTGGGAAGCAAGGGTGAGATCCACCTGGCAAAGTGCTAAAAGGGCACCTCTACCAGTGCCTCACTGAGGGGCCTCTGAGCTGGGCACATCAGAAAAGGCTCCACAGCACTCACACCTCCCTCTCTGCCTATTGTTTCTTAGGCTTTTTGTTGTTGTTGTGTTTATTTTTTTAGTTTTTTATCAGCTGTCTCTCAGCCTTCATTGGTGCACAGGGTCATTTTTTCTCCAGGTACAGGACTTCGCCCTTGCCTCCTGCTTTCAGGATATCTATTCTATCACCCTCTATAGCTCCCTGAAAGGAGGTTTGTTGCCAAGTGGGGGTGGCCTCTTCTCCCAGGCAACCAGCAATAGGATGAGAGGACATACTCTTAAACTGCACCAGGGGAGTTTTAGGTTGGACATTAGGAGGGATTTCTTCACGGAAAGGATGGTTAGACGTTAGAACGGGCTTCCCAGGAAGGTGGTGGAATCACCGTCCCTGGAGATACTTAAGGACGTGTCAACACCAAGTTGACAAGGTGGTATTCGGTCATACCTAGGATCCGATAACCTCAAAGGTCTTTTCCAACCTAACTGATCCTGTGAGTCTGTGATCCCTCCTGCCTGACCAAGCGCCCTGGGGAGCACCCGCTCGCCCCGACCGATCCCCCTCCGCTCAGTGCTGTATCTTGGGGCCGAAGGAGCCGTGATGAGGGGGATGATGAGGGAGTGCTTCACACCAAGGAGCTGCGATGAGGGGCTGCTCCCCACGCACCGGCGGGGAACCTTCCCCCATTTACGAGCGCGGGCCGAGCCCCGGCGGTTCTGGGCGCTGCAGCCGCAGCGGCCCCGCCGGCGGAGGCCGCGGGCCGGCGCTGAGGGCGGCGGTGCGGGCGGTGGCGGCTCCCCCTGGCGGGCTCGGCGCCGCACCGCACCCACCGCACCGCGCCTCAGCTGGGCGGGCCGGGCGGGCCGGGCTGGGGCGGCGGCGGCTGCGATGAAATTCCCGGGCTCCGTCCTCGTCTCCCTCGTCCTCTTCTTGTCCGAGACGACGGCCGCGCTGTGCCTGAGCGCGGCGTACCGCGCTGCGGGGGACCCCATGTGGCACTGGCTGACGCTGCTCTGCGCCCTCCTGCCCTGCGTGCTGGTGCAGCTCAGCCTGGTCTTCATCCACCGCGACGTGACCCGCGACCGCCCGCTGGTGCTGCTGCTGCACCTGCTGCAGCTCGGGCCGCTCGTCAGGTCGGTGAGTCCGTCCCGCCCCTCGGCGGGGCCGGGGCCGAGCGCGGGGGGCGCACGGAGCCCCCCGGCCTTTGTGCGGGGCGGGCGCGGCCGCTGCCGCTCTGCACCGGCGGGTCCTGCCTTTGAACGGCGTCCTTCGGGAGTGCCCTCAGGTTCTGAGCCCCGGGGTGAAGGGGCTCGGCCCTGCCGGGCCCGCGGGGAGCCAGGGGAGCCCCCATCCGCGCCCCGGCGCTGCGCTGGGTTGGCATCGCCGAGGCTCCCTGCAGAGGGCTGTGTCTGTTCGCTGCCGGCTCGCCCATAGCGCTTTGCTCGCAGGTGACTTCCAGGAGGCACAGGGAAGGTTCGCTCGGCTGGGAGATTAGGACCGAGATAGTGATGCTCTAGCCAGTCTCTTCTTCCCAAATGTGAGCTTCTTGCCCCAAATTGCGTTGGAGATTTTTTTTTTCAACTTCAGTGTAACTTCTCACTGAAAATACCCTTAAGGGAAAAAAAAAAAAATCCCAGATAGATGAAAAGTTACGGTGGTGGCGCAACTCCCAAGACAAAATGTTTGCTGCGGGCGTTCATTTTAAATTTACATTCATATCTTTTATTTAGAAAGAAAGGTGACTAAATGCAGTGCATCTGTAGAAGAGGCTGGGAGAAGCATCAGCAACTTTTTGAAATTCCTGGACAGTGTGGGAAAGGAAGATTTGTTGACACTAAGAAGGGCGAAGAGTTTGGATGTTACAAAATATCTTACACATCAAAAACATTGACTTCTTTAACCACGACTGGATTTCGTTAATATTTTTGTTTTGTTAAGATTTTAAAGATATTTAAGTTATGGCTAAACAGTTAGTTCTTGAAGAGCTCTGATTTCTAAAAGCTGAGAATAAAGTACTTCTACATTCTTTGGAAAATAAGAGAGGAACCAAAGAGAAAGAAACTATCAAAATAAAAATTGTGTTGGTGACTTTTGTCATTCTAAATCAATTTCTTGAGGTCAAACGAGGAAAGAATGTCATGTCAAACTGGAAGATGTGAATAAACAAATAAAGGATGTAAACAACAAAAAAAAAGTGGAAGATTTTCTTTCTAATTATCTGAAAGAAACAGACTTCCTCTTTGACCTTAACCACCAGACATGACTTGACTTTCTCTTTCTTTCTCAATATCAAGTTTATCTGTTTACAACACAAGTCTCACGTTGTGCAGAGCACACTTTCTGCTCCATTGGCAAGCTCCCAGCCACAGTCACTGCTGTAAAACTAGTGGGCATATGGAAGCCTTCTCCTCTCTTCAAGTATGTTGCCAACTCTGCAATTGTGCCTTTCTCAAAGATTTACAAACCTGGCATTTCCAGAAGGTTTGAAGGTCTTCTGGAGGTGTTGCAGCATGCCTGTGCCACAGTCCCCGTGGCATCATTTGGGCATTACAAAGTGATATATGTTTTCTTCTCTCTAAACCCAGTATAACTGGAACTATAATTTCTAATATAAAGAGGGTTGTACATTCATGCTACCTGAGAAACTTATTTCCTGCTAAAGGCTGGAAGGACTCTACAAAACAAAAACTTCATAGGAAACTACCTCTCTCTAGTTTTCGGGAGATGTGTCTATTTGTAGGGTGCAGCACATCCTACAAAAAGTGTGGGAAGACGAAGGGATCAGTCTGAGGCAGACAGTAAAGGGGTTTGGTTTGGGTTTTTTTTTCCTTCCTGCAATTAAACATTGCTGTATCTGTGAGAAGAGGAAACTGATTGCCTCCCTGCCCTGTATAAGTTTGAGGGTTTTCAGCACATGAAATACCTTACAGTTCCCTGTTTTGCACAGGAGGCTTTCTATTCTATCCTGTGTGGACTTCCATGCATGCAAGTGGCAGCTAGAAGGCAAAATACTTTTTGGCTTTATCATCACTGCACTGTGGCTTTAACTTTTGTAAGCTGAAAAGGACCATTGTCCTTGGAAGCATTTTGTTCCATCCTGGTAGGCAAACCTCTGCTCCTTTACACCGGAGAATCCTGCTGTTCTCAGTCATCTGCTTCCCTGGTGTGAAGCCTCACTCCATCCTCCCTGTTCAGTCTCTTGTATCTCACTGGCACAGCCCAGGGTTGTTTAGGGAGGGCTGGACCAAATTAGGTCAAATAGGACACAGACAGCAGAGCCTCCTCAGGCCTCTGTCTGCTTGTGGCATCAGAGTGAAATGTTTAAGAACCTTTAGGCTGTGTGAGATGACACGCTGCAGAAGAGGGCTGGCTGCTTTGGCTGGCTTTAAAAAAGCTAACACCCACCTTTTAACCATCTATCTTTGGTTTGGTGTGGTACAGGGTAGTCAGAATTTCTCTGTTCAAACTCAGATACTGGGATATCAGTGCACTGCTTACCAACAGTACATGTATGTTGTGTGAGGTTTTCTTTATCATCTTAAAATCTAGACATTTTTCTCCCCTTCTTTTTTCCCTTAAAAAACCAAAACAAAACAACCAAAAATGGTTTGGAAATATCTTGGCAGGGAAGGAGGCTATTGAACTTTGCAAGAGAAATGATCCAGCCTATCTGTGTGATGGGGAGAAAGTACATTCTCTCATAGAACCTTCTTGCATACCACCACCTTCCCCAAACACCCACACTCCACCTGTTTGGGAGGCACTTGCTGTCCTGCTGCCACCACTGGAAGCACTAAAATTAGGTAGCATCCCTCTCCCTGGAGAGGACTTTTGCTGTACTGTT